GAGCTGCGAGGTGGTGGAGGTGGTGGCGGCGGCGGTGACATGGCAGAGCCCTCTGAGGCTGGTGATGCACCTCCTGACGATGGGCCTCCTGGGGAGCTGGGTCCAGATGGCCCTGAGGGTCCAGAGGAGAAGGGCCGGGATCGTGACCGGGAGCGACGTCGCAGTCACCGGAGTGAACGGGATCGGCGCCGGGACCGAGACCGAGACAGGGATCGCGAGCACAAGCGGGGGGAGCGGGGTGGTGAACGAGGCAGGGATGAGGCTCGAGGTGGGGGTGGGGGTGGCCAGGACAACGGGCTAGAGGGTCTTGGCAATGACAGCCGAGACATGTACATGGAGTCTGAGGGAGGCGACGGGTATCTTGCTCCAGAGAATGGGTATTTGATGGAGGCTGCACCTGAGTGAAGAGGCCTGACCTGTTTGGACGTGTTCCTACCCACCCCCAACCTCCTTTGGTCATCCTTTACCCCTGACCTCCTTGGTCACCACCTAAGTTTTGCCAGCCAAGGGTAGGAGTCTCATTTGTTCTGGTTCCTTGGATTTAAAAATAAAATTAATTTCCTGTTAATGGGCACTTTGGTTTCTTCACTGCTCTTAATGTCTTTGCTAGAAGCTTGCCTTCTGACTTGATCGCCCTGCCCCTGTCTGTGTTCCAGGGCATGCCTGCTCCGGCTCTGTGGCCTCGGGCTAGGGATGCTGCAGGGCCCCAGAGCTGTGGAAAGTGGGAGAGGACCAGCTCTGTAAAGGCCCTTAATCCCTTTGTGGTTCTCCCACCCCCCTGTTTTTAACCTCTTCCATGCATAACCTTAACTTGTGGGCTCTTTATATTCCTAGCTTGTGGGGGTGGGGGGCAGGTGGGCTCTAGGTGTTTGATTACTCAGTGGGAGCTGCAAATTTGAAAGCATGAAGGGGAAGCTTTGAAATTGGAAGCTGGAAAAAGGTGAAGAAATGAAAGGAGAACAAGATACGAGGACGAGAGGACTGGGTGGAGCAGGAAGGCCACACAGGGCCAGGCAGGAAAACGGCCCTCGGTGCATGTGGCAGGTTCACCGCATGTGGCACGTTCACCATTTGTCTTCGTTGCTACTTCCCAGTGACAGAGTAATCAGAAGCAAGAAACAAGAGCTTTCATCAGCAGTTGAGATTTCAGCCCATTTCTGGATAAAAGATTAGGGAGGACAATGGCGAGAACACTTCAGTCTTATGGCCCCTTGAGAAGGAAGCCAGTCACCCTTGCCGGGTCCTAGAGGCTCAGGGTTGAAACTCCAGGTATAAGAAGAATAGGGAATGAGGTGGACTCTCAACTCAGCAGTGGCCCTTCGTTTCAGCCCTCTACACGCCCGGGAGTTGGATGTTTGCTGCCGAGGATATACAAGCCCTGACCTGCTTGGGTGTTGTAGAAGTTTTTCAGTCTAAAGAAAAATGACTCAATAACCCAGAGGCAGCATGTCAGTTACAAGGATCCTAGTATGCCTCGGTGTTCATAGACATACAACCAAAAGCCACAGACATTTGAAAAAGTCCTACAATGACAGTCCGCAAGATACATAGCAAAACTAGTCCTGGCAGAAACAATTTATGGAATAAAAAGAACTTAATGCCTCTGATTAGTATATTTTAACAGATAATCCCATATGTTGCAACTAGACTTCTGAAACTGGCTATGAAGAACAGCTCGTTTTGTAGTAGTTTGGCACAGTGATAAAGACTGCACAGGATTTCTAAAACAACTTGTGAAAAGCATTGGAGGGCAACCAATGTAGGTGAGACTTGAGGCAGTTGATCCCTAAGGAAAACAAAGTGCGCGGGTGAATTTTTCCTCTACCTGATTTCTCTGACATTTGCCAGTTTAACGTGGGGTAATAGACTCAGAAAGTGGCAGCCCCCCCGCAGGGCTGAGTTCACAGAGGTTGGCCCAGATGGCGGGGGCTTGGGGGCAAAGTGCCCACGTGGGGCCATTGAGCCCCCAAATCTATATCGTCTGGAGGTGTACTCCAACTAATAAGCTGCTCATGAGAAAGGAAAAATGGAAGCTAGGGAGCTGAGCAGAAATCACAATAGCCCTGGAATTCTTGGGGGGAGAGGTTGGAGTTCAAGATCTGCCAAAACGAATGGCTGTGCTTGAGATCCCCAGAGTGTGCCACGATATTGGAGTAAGGCCGCAAGTGAAATACACTGGGCCTCCTAAAGGTGGAGGTGATTTGTCTGTCAGGAGGAAATAACCCTCTACAAGGTATTCTTCAGAGTCTGATTTTTAGCACACAATGCTCATCTAGTCATTATCAGTGATGTCAGAGGATTGGAGTTACTGAAAACCAAGAGAAAAAAAAGGCCACAGAAGCACCCAGGCGTGATTACCAGTGTTGGAGTTACCGGAGACTGAAAGAGCTATGTGCTCACAAAATAAGGCAGAGGGAGAATTCTCACAGCCCAGGAATCTTAAAAGTCAAGTGGAAATTTTAGAGCTGGAAAACAACTGAAATGAAGAATTTGGTAGGTGCATTTGGTAGTTGCTTAGATAAGCTGACACATTCTTGTTAACACTGCGAGGGCTAGGGGAATAAAAATTAGGTGAAAAGAGCAATCTAATGATCTTTTTAGGAAATTAGTTGAGAACATACTTCAAAGTGAAGAATTGGAAAGGGAGAATCAACCACCCAGTTCAGCAACGCCATGGAGAAAGTCCCAGGATGGTTTTCTAGGACTTTCTCTCCCTTGAAAAACATGGTTTTCTCTCCCATGGAGAGATTCACATTGGGGTCAGAGGACTGAAGTTTCTGAGGAGTTTCAGGTCTAAAACAAAGACTCAGCAAGACAAGGGTATCAAACTCATTTTCACTGGGGACCACATCATCCTTGCAGTTGCCTTCAAAAGGCTGAATGTAGTTTTAGGACTGTATCAACGTAACTACTCTTCAAGCAAGGGCTCAGTGCTGTCGCCGGGTAGAAACAAGGTGGAGGGCCGGATTCGGTCCTTGTGCTTGTCTCTTGTTCAGTAAGATACCTGTTCTGATGGAGAGTTGGAAAGAAATTGAGAATTTCTTTCCAAGAAAGAAATAAAAGTAGGTAGAAGTCACACTGGGGGGTGGGGAAGCTGTTCAAGAAAGAAAAAAGTGTGATCACAGAACACTGCTCGGGTAAATTACTGCTCAGGTCAACACTGCTACAGTAAATTAAGTACGATACTTAAGACGTAATATAAGCATTTTATTGATTGATCTCAAAACTGGTGCCATAAAGCTACCATGGGAAGAAAGGAAAGGTTATAAGAGCAGAAAGTCAATATGTAATATATTACTAACAACTAAAATTGATAAATGGAGAAGTAACAAGTTATTTGGATACAGAAGCAACTGCCAGTTTAAACATGGGTTAAATTGTTGCCTATTGCAGTGGGTTGAGTTAGGACTGGCTGGTGCTTTTCAATATTAGCCCTTCTGCATTACTTGTTTTTGTCTCTTAAATCAAGTTAAGTATCCCTGGCTGGTGTGGCTCAGTGGGTTGAGCGCCAGCCTGTGAATCGAAGGATCGATTCCCAGTCAGGGCACACATGCCTGGGTTGCAGGCCAGGTCCCCAGTTGGGGGGCCTGCCAGAGGTGGCCAGCTGATGCTTCTCTTGCACGTTGATGTTTCTCCCTCTCTATATATAAAATAAATCTTTTAAAAAATTAAGTGGATTTTTTTGTTAAAATAGGAAAAAAAAATACAAGGAAGGAGAGAGAGATAGATAAACTTGCATACTTCCTTGGCTTTGCCAGATCCCACTTCTGGACTCCGTACCCCCATCTAGCCAGTGGTGGGGCAGTCTTGTGTATATTTTTTGTTTCTTTGGCCTCTGATACAGCCCCTTACTTTCTTTTAAAAAACTTTTCTCATGGTTTCTCTCACCTGATTTTCCTCCTCTTTTCTGGCCATTTCCCCCCCTCTTTCTAACTTTAAATGTTCGAAGTTTCGGTGACTCAGTCGTAGGCCCTCTTCACCCTACAGTCTTGCCTCCAGCAAGACTGTCCACTCCTACGGCTTCATTTTCCACCGTTGCCCACATTCAAATTCTCAAAAATGTTGGCAGGCCTTGGGCACTACTGGACAAGGCTCCTCAAGTTCACGATGTCCAATATCCCTCCTCCACCTTAGCCTACCTGAGTAGAAGGTTCCACAGGCACCTTAACACCCCTCCCCCACTTCCCAGTCCTCATATACACTGAGTCACCAAGGTATGTCTGGACATTTCCAAATGTGCAGACCCAACCTCCACTTTCTACCCTGGTCCCAGCCATCAAGGGATAGCATCCTGCCCGCTCCCCTGCCTCCACTTTGCTCGCATCCAAGCCAGTGGCCAGATGCAGGTGACCACAGTGGTCTTCAACTACACATTTGAATGATCACATTTTACCTTTTGGAGTTACCATAGTTCAGAATCCCCAATGTGTCCGTGCCAACTCTCCAGTCCATGCGTGAACTATCCTGCCCACCTCTTCATCGTCACAAACCACTGCAGTCCTCGCTCCGCTGTCCAGCTACATGGGCTCTTTCTGCCTGGAAAGTGACCCACATCCTGCCTCCTGATCTTACCTTCGAGAACTCTGTTAATTTCTCTCAGATCATCACACCCCCCACTCCCAATTCTCATCACAGTCGTAGCTGGTTGTCTACCTCCTCTTCACCATGGCCTATGCTCCGTGGGGGCAGTGTCCATCATCTTGGGCCCAGATGTTTAACATACATTTGTCCAATGAAAATGGACAAAAGGGACAGGGGAGACAGACAGGTCTGGTGGGCCGGACAGACAGACTGAGATGGAAGGTGGGGGAGACGCTGCAATAGGAAAGGTCGCAGACAGGGCAGACCAGTGGGGGTTGAGGGCAGGGCTGCCAGACAGAAGCAGCAGTCGGTGTGGCGGCCAAGGCGCCTGGAGCGAGGTGCGAGCGGGTGGCGTCTCCACAGGGGGCGCCCGTCGCCGGGGGCGTGGCCTCGTGAAGCCCCTCCCTCCTTGCTGGTGACCAGGCGGGCAGGCGGCTCTCAGTGGCAGCGCCGACATGGCTGCGCTGGTGGAGCCGCTGGGGCTGGAGCGCGGTAAGCGCGCCAGGGGGTCCTGCCCACCCGGTGGCGTCCAGCGTCCTGGACCCCCGTCCCCGCCCCAACCCCCGCAAGGCATGGGCGGTGGGTGGGCTGACGGATAGGGCAGGGGTGGGGGGGTGGGCGGGGCGTCGTGAGTCTGGCTGTTAGCGGGGTTGGGAGGGTCCGTGGGCGAGTGGGTCGGGGAGGGGTGCCCACTGCACACCCCTGTCTGGGCGTGTACGGGGATCCTGGGGACGCAGGGTGCCCTTGCCGCCAGGTGTCCGCGGGTGTCCTTCCTGGGGTCTGTCTGCGCTCGCCCTTACTCGGTTTCTGGTCGCATCTCTCGGTGCTCCTCTGCGTTTTGGTGTCTGACTCTGGTCTACGCGCCCGCCCCCGCCCCGCAGATGTATCCCGGGCGGTGGAGCTCCTCGAGCGTCTCCAGCGCAGCGGGGAGCTGCCCCCGCAGAAGCTGCAGGCCCTCCAGCGTGTCCTGCAGAGCCGCTTCTGCTCTGCCATCCGGGAGGTGAGTGCCGCGCGGCACTGGGCGCAGACGGCAGCCACAGCCTTCCTGCTCGCCCCGAGCCCGGGGACTACACCTCCCAGCAGTGCCTGGGGCAACCCGCCTTGAGGTGTTCGTGCGTCTGCTCTGGGATTCTTTGGGAGTTGTAGTTTCCTTTGACCCCAGGTTGCGGGGGCGGGATGGTTCCTTGGGTGGGAGAGTCCAAGGAGGCTTGGACTCCTCTGTTGAAGGGAGGAGGGGACTGGCGGCTCCCTGATGCTGCTGAGTCCTCACCAGGTGTACGAGCAGCTCTATGACACGCTGGACATCACGGGCAGTGCTGAGATCCGGGCCCACGCCACAGCCAAGGTAGGCGCCCCTTACCCCATCATTCAAGGCATCCATGGAACTTCTAATGTCAGTCAACCCTGGCTCCTCCTTCGTGATTTTTGTCAGATCTCTGTACCACCCTTACTATTACTTTTTGATAATTTATTTTAGGTACTCTCATATTTTTAACTTAAATATCATATAAAGAAAGGGATGTTTAGCCCTGGCTGGTGTGGCTCAGTGGATTAAGTGCCCGTCTGCCAACCAAAGGGTTGCCGGTTTGATTCCCAGTCAGGACACATGTCTCCGTCCTGGGCCAGGTACCCAGTACAGAGTGCACAAGAAGCGACCACTTTTCCCTTCCTCTCTTCCTCCCTCCTTTCCCCTCTCTAAGGACAAATAAGTAAAAGGAAGAAAAGGTATCTTTACCAATTGTAAATTGAAACTAGTACTACTGGATGCCATATTCGGAGATAACTTTAAGCACCTATACAATGAAATATCAATAAACACCAAAATCCGATTAAACTATAGTCAGATGCTATTTCTTGCGGCTTCCTGGGGGCTCTCAGCTTCTTCCAGGCCTCGTTTTCCTCTGTTAAAAAGTGAGATTGGCAAGTGGGGAGTATTCAAGATACATGCACAAATGAAGATTTTCTCTTTGACATGTCTGCACCATCCAAAGTGAAGCAAAGGGGTCACGCAGTCATTATGGGGTGATCTTCCGTCGAACCATGCAGTTGCAGGCGCCTCGAGCTTGGGAAAAGCTGTCTGGCCTCAATAGCTCTTCCTTGCCCGGATCCTCCACCCCAGTCTGCAGGCCCCTCACGTCCCGATGTGATGCTTTCTCCCTCCCAGGCCACAGTTGCTGCCTTCACGGCCAGTGAGGGTCATGCACACCCCAGGGTAGTGGAGCTGCCCAAGACGGATGAGGGCCTGGGCTTCAACATCATGGGGGGCAAGGAGCAGAACTCGCCCATCTACATCTCCCGAGTCATTCCTGGAGGTGTGGCTGACCGCCACGGAGGCCTCAAGCGCGGGGACCAGCTGCTGTCTGTGAATGGTGTGGTGAGTGGGAAGCCGGGGCAAGGCTGGGAGCGGGGTCAGAGTTTCTGGCATTTATCTAACACACGCAGACTGAGCGCTGCCTCTGTATCCAGCCACGTGCTGGACACTGCCATGGACCCTGAGAAAAGTTGGCCTCCGCTCTTACCATCAAGAACTCCCTCTCTGACAAGGGAGGGTAGACCTCATCCAGGGAGATAATAATGAGGAAGCACAAAGCATTGTGATGTGGCACCGGACCAGGGGAGAGGAAAGAAGTTTTTACTGGGGAAGGAACATTTGAGTTGGGTTTTGATGGATGAGTAGGAGTTCTGCGGGGAAAAAAAAAAAAGATGAAGGTGTTACTGGCTGAGGTTGTTGTAGGTAGGGGCTGTGACACTCCTGTGAGGTAAAGAACTCGGTTCTGATGGAGGACGGGGGCATGCAAGTAATTAAAATCACTGGTTCGAGTCAATGGAGACACAACTACATGGGTGGTTGGGGACCGCTTTGTAGGGGCTGAGTGCCAGCCTAAGAAGCTGGGACTTTGTCTCAAGGGTGCTGGGGAGTCGTGGCAGGGCTGGAGGGATAGACTCAGCTTGGAGGTGTAGATAGACCCCTTTGGGACTCTGTGGACTGAGGGGAGAGACCGAAAGCCAGGGAGGAGGCTACAACGAGAGTCCACTGGGGAGGGAATGAGGCCTAAGCTGGGGCCAAGGTGGTAGGGACAAAGAAGGGGGAGTCAGGGCAGGAGTGATAGGGCCAGGAAGTAGCTGACTGGGGAGGGAGGGGCTAAAGGTGGTCTGGGAGGTCTAGCTCAGTGACTGAGTGCTCATGGAGCTTGTTCCTCGCATCAGGAACCTGGGAAATTTGGAGGGAGGACACTGAGCCAAGAGTTCCTGCCTCTCCTCGCATGAGGACAGGAGGTTCAGCAGCTCAGGGCTGGTGGCAGGTCACTAATGGTCCTGTTTCCGGGGTGGAAGCCGGGTGAGGGCGGTGGGCCCTGGGCCCAGCTGTCTGTGCACCGTCCTGCAGAGCGTGGAGGGTGAGCAGCACGAGAAGGCTGTGGAGCTGCTGAAGGCGGCCCAGGGCTCTGTGAAGCTGGTGGTGCGCTACACACCTCGAGTGCTGGAGGAGATGGAGGCCCGCTTTGAGAAGATGCGCTCTGCCCGCAGGCGCCAGCAGCACCAGAGCTACTCGTGAGCTTTCTGCCCTCACGACTACCCAGGGCCTCCATGATCTGCCCTATCCCCAGACTCCCAAAGCAAGCCAATGATTGCTGAACCCTTGAATGCCACCCCCAGGCATGGCCTCTCTCCTGAGAGTCTGACCCTTGACCCCTGACTCAGACTCTCCCCACCAAGCCATTCTGGCTAAAGCCCTTGGGGACTCAGCTGACTCCCATTCAAGATCTGGAAGCTACTCGCCCGGGAATTCCTCAACCCACTTCCCTGAGCCCTTGGTTCTGGAAACCCAGCCCTAGCTCTTACCCTTCCATCCCCAGGTCCCTTACCCTGAGCCTGGGTTCCTTCTCTTCACCCTCCTTGCAGGTCCTTGGAGTCCAGAGGCTGAAACCATAAATCTGGACCCTCCTGCTCACCCGTCTCCTGTACAGTATTTATTGTCACCTGCTCCTTATTTAAAGATCTTTGAACCTCGCTGCGTGTTTGTGTGTCTGTTCTGGGTCTTGAGATGTGGGGGAGGGAGTGAGTGAGGGAGAGGAACTGAGGTTGAGACCAAGCCCTCAAGAAGCCCTTTGCAGAGTCCGAGAGCTGACATGGAGACTTTTCTCCACATCTGAAGGTGGAAGCCGGCCAACTTCCTAGGGACAAGTCCAAAGACAGAGGCTGAGACCCAGCCTGGGTCTGAATGCGAATTCAAACATGAAGACAGCACCCTCTAATTTTAAGAGACTCTGAGGGTGGAGGCCAGGCCCCTTCTGTAGCTGGTCCTACCCAGGAGTCCAGAAACGCTGTGGGAGCCAGTGGGTGTTCTCCCTGTGGGCGGGACGGAGCAAACCATTAACCTTGTCTGCCGGGGGAGCCTTGCGTGGGAGACAGGGGTGGGGGTGCCGCGTGCAGTTCCCGAGACAGGCGCAGAGTGCAGAATAAGGTGCACTCGCTGACCCGGCATTCACCCCACGTTCAACCCAAGCACGTCTCCGTGAGTCGCCCCCACCTTAAAAATACAACCTTTACTCCCACCTCGCCGCCCGCCCAGCCCCTCCTGTCCCGTGAGGCGCGAGGGACGGCGCGCATCGCCGCCGGGATCCGGGGTCGCGACTCGCGTTCCACGCCGCGCGCCACTCGCTCCAGGTGACATCATCTCCCTGCCGGGCTCCGCCTTCCGCCCCATAGCCGCCTCACGCCGCACCCCTATTGGCCAACCTGTCTTGAGCCCCGCCTCCCGCTCTCCGCCCGCGCGACCCCTCCCTGCCGGTGCGGAGGCGGGGTTTCGCCTCCTACCGGTGCTGACGCTGTCTCCCATTGGTCACTCAGAGCCGTCTGTCAGTATCCTGTTAAAGGGGCCACGACCGCCCGGGAGCCTGTTGGGGGGAGGGAGGAGGAAATTTTTTTGGGGGGAAGGTGGGATTTTGGGGGGCGCTAGTGGGCACCCCTGGATCTGGCGGCTGCGGCCTCGTGGGGGAGGCTTAACTGTGACAGGGGTAGGGGGCTATTTTAGGGGGTAGAGGGCTGTAAGACTGTGAGAGGGAGGGGGGTCCCCAGCGCCCAAGCCGGAGCGAGAGACGCGGAGCCCGCGCCAGCGGCGGAGACAGGGCTCCGGCGCTACAGATCCGGGCCCCGGCCGCCGCCAGGGGCCCCGCCCGGTCCCCCCACCCCACCCCACGTCCCTCCTGCAGCCCAGCTCCGCCCGCAGCCGCCGCGGACCAGGTAGGTAAGAGCCCGGCCCGGCCTGCCAGGCAGCGCCCACCCCGGGGACCCCTCGCGGAGCTTCCCCCGCCTCCCCGAGATCCTGGATTCCCTTCTTCATCCCCGGGGACCCCACAGCCCAGATTTCACAGCCGAGCCCCAGAGAGTCAGGCGTGCCCCTCCCGGCTCTCGGAGTCCCCAACCGAACCCTAGAATCCCGGGCGTACTGCCGCCTTGCGCCGCCTCCAGGGCCCAGGAGCCTGGATTTCAGTTCCACCCTGGGAACCGCTCTGGATCCAGATCCTCCTCCTCGGCCCAGTCCCGACAGCTCCAGGCACCGCCGCGGCTCTGTCACACTCTCCCGGCGAGGGTCGCCCGTCCCCCGTCGCGACTGTACATAGTCCCCCATTCGCGCACCCATCTCCAGCCCTCCGGCTTGGGCAGCCGGCTTCGTCCCTCAGTCCAGGCCGACTCGGCGGCCGCCCTGGACACAGGCCCGCTCTGGAGCTGTCCATGGTCAGCCCGCTCGGCAGCCTCGCCTCCCCCACCTCCCGCTGCCGCCGCCAGAGAGGGGGCGCCGGCGGCGCGGGGATCCCCCGCTCCGCGCCTTTGACCCGGGGATACCCGGGCCCTCCCCGACCCGGGCTCCGGGACATCAGGGTTCCGCTGGCCAGGCTCTCCACCTCAGCATCTCAGGTTTCCGGGACCCCAGCACCTTCCTGAGGAGTCAGAGCTTTCCGAATGCTCCTGCCCTGTCCACCTTAGGGACCTGAGCACCCGGGGATCCAGGTTCCCAGCCTTTGCCCCCTTTAGGTCCCCAGTTCAACAGCCCCTGTACTCCTCAGGCAAATATACCCAGTCTCCTAGTACCCCAGCATCTGCCCCTTAGGGATTCGGGCGCCATGACTCCGTTTCAGGGACTCGGAATGCGATTGTTAATGCAATTCTTTGGCACTTCCCGCACCACCCCACGCCCCCGCACCGCCCCCGGAGACCTAGATGCCGGTCTGGTCCTGCATCCCCTCAGGGACCCAGGCGTTCAGAGCCTAGCTTCTGTACTGGTCACCAGCCTATATGGAGGCCACCTGCCCCAGCCCTCCCACCCAAACCCCTGTCCTTTATCTCCACAAGGATTCAGGAATCCAGACCTCCCAGCTGTGCCCTCCTCCTGCCCCAGGTATCTAGCTCCTCATCTCTTACTGTTAGGAACCCAGGTCCCCACAGCCTCAGGACTCCCTTATCAACCTGACATCTCCCAGGCGCCTTGACAAACTCCTGCCTCATCCCCCATTTCATCCCAGCTGCTGGGTTCCTGGGACTCTATTTTCTCCCCCAGGACCCAGCTTCTGGAGCTATTTCCAGCACTCCACTGCTTTCTCCGGCCCATACCGTGATGTCCTATCCTCTGAGTACACACTCTCTCTCTCAGGCTGTACCCACATGCCAAACACACATGCTTTTCTCCAAACGTGTTCTGTGACTTAGGCTCCTTAGTGATCCAGAAGCTACCCGCTGCCTTCCACTTTTCCAGTTAAATATTGCCCTTGCAATGCTCCGCATTCTAGATTCCTTCTAGATCCCAGAACACGCCCAGTCGACATCTGTGTTTCATCTTCCCCAAGGCATGTTCTCAGTTCCAGGCTAGATGTTAAATTCTAGCCAAATTCGAATCCCTCCATCTCCTCAGGCATGTTCTGAATTTTTAGACACCAATCTTAGCTTATCCTCTGCTAAAATTTCATTTTAGGAGTGTTCTAGGTTCTAGCCATATCCTTGGCATTGTTTTACATTCTGTCTCCAGGAGCCTTCTAAGTTCTAGAATGTGTGTCTTCCAATTGTGTTCTGTTCTCCTTCTCTGAATTGTGCTACTGATTCTACGGGGCACTTTTCTGCTTTGGGTTCCACCCAATTCCACGGTCTTAAACCTACAGGATTCCCACCGAAGCACTCTAACCTTCCTTCTTCCTTCCTCAGGTTCCAGGTTCTTGGCCCGTCCATTCCCACCTCTGTTTATCTTTTCCTGAGTGCGATGTTAGTTTAGAACTTGTCCTCTGGTGGCCTGTGGGCTTACTCCTCTATCTGCCACTTCAGCATTCTAAGCATGCTCTGGGCTCTCCCCTCTTCTAGAGTCTTCAGCCTAGAAATGTCCTCATTTCCGGAACACAACGTCTCGCCTTTGCCAGCTCAGTCCTTATGCCAGTAAATTCTCAACTCCCAGCATGCATCCCTCTACATCTTCCTGCAGGCATGACTAAGTTCCAGGCAAACTCCTTGCTACTTTCTAGGTTTTTCTCCACCTGCAGGGTGCGTTCTGAATTCTAGAGCATTTATCTTTTTCATTCTGTGTTCTAGCATTATCTAGACACATGATAAAAACAAGGATGCAGCCACTGCTGTACTCTAGGTTGTATCTTTCTCCCGGGTAGGTTTCAAGTCCTAGATTATGTCTCCTGACTAGGTCTGTTGTGCATTGCGTTAGGTATATTCTTAGGTATCATTCTGAGGTCACCCAGTCGGTCTTGAACTTACTGATTGCTCTTGGCTGGTTCATGGTTCCAGACCCAGCTTCTAGAATATGCCCTACGTGTAGCTCTTACCCAGCTCACATGGGAAATGTGGAAGCATGTGTCCATTTTCGCACTCTGTACTGTGTCTACATGTCAGTGGCTTTTCGGATTGTTGCCCAGCCTTGCTGTGTTTCATTTCTTTCTCAGTGAATTCAAAGTTCTAGCACAGCCTCCCTAAAACATCCTGTGTTGCATGTCGTGAGTAAGTTCTGGGCTTTGGATATGGTGTTTCCGGGCCTAAGGCTGGCCGGCCCTTTTGTAACCGGCCCTTTTGTAAACACGTTCCTGAATCTGGCCTCTGAGCTCTGCGATACCGCTGTCTAGATTCTCAGATGCACCTGTTCAAAGACCCAGGGGACCCAGCCGCCTCCCCCCCCCCCCCAGGTTCCAGGGCACTCCTCTTCTCTCCAGGGCAGTCCTCTCCTCTCCACACAGGAGTCCAAGGCCCCGGTCCCAGGCTTTGGACACAGTCCGAACGTTAGGCGGGGCTGGGCAAGATCTACTGGCAGAACCGGTTATGCCCCAGCCGGAAGGGAGAAAAGGAAAGGAGAAGTCCCTCCTGCTTTCGGCTGGGCCAGCTGGACCTGTCCAACCTGCTGTGTGCGAGGGAGAGGCGCAGGACAACTCGATTCATCTCCGCCTACAACCTGTGTACCCGAACTCCTGGGTCTTGGGAGCCTGCACTGCCGGGTTTTGGGGTGAAGGGGTTTGAAGGCTGGGTTTCTGAGTCTATGGTTGGAGGTTTAAACCCCAGACTCAGGTCCCAGGGGAAGAGCAGGTGATATCGCTGCCTCCTGGGATTGGGAAGGAGGGGGCTGGAAGCTTAGCCTCCTGAGTCTGGGGAAGGGACTGCAGGATTCTTGAGACCTGAGGGAGGAGATGGATCCTGGACCCCTGCCCCCTGCCATGCTTCTCTCCATCCCCATGTGGAGTAGCTCTTTAGATTCTTCTGGAGCCAAGGTCCAGATGAGAAATTGAAGGAGAGGGGAGTTGAGCTGGATAGCAGGTAACCACGCACCAGCAGTGACCTAATTCTGTGACCCCAGTCTTGAAGTCAGGGTTCTCATCTGGGCCTGTTCTCGCTCACGCAGTGCGTTGAGGCAGATTCTCAGCAGGGCCAGACTGAATTTTCCACTGTTAGTCAGGCAGTGCCAGGGTCACCCGGCTTCGGTTTCTTGGACTAGATCGGGCCTAGGTTTGCTGTTAGTGCCTGGT